GTAATGAAAATAATGGGAAATAAAATTATAGAGTTTCTCACCCATTATAGAATTGCTGACCAATGTCCAGCCATGTCCTGAGTAGTCAGCCTGGGAGAGCCAGGGAGCCTGAGAGCCCACCAGAGTCAGACCAAGCTTCAACAAGCGAGAGCACTAACAAGAAAGCCAACCGACCAACATGGCCCCTGGCCCACCCCCACCTTATATACTGAGCGTGATGTTCAGTAGAATGAAATGCCCTTTTGTCAGTTTGGGCTGTGATGTGAAGAAAATTAACTCTGTCCTAACCATAACCAGCAGGGTACATGCTATGAAATAGAAAAATATAAAAAATAGAAAAGATACAAATTACCCTTGTGCAGTATATCTGAAAGCAGACAAACTTATGGGAAGGATTTGCAACTGGTTTAAAGTAAAAGTGTTTATCTGTATAAGTTCTAAGTAGAGAAGCATTATTTTTGAAAATTTAGTCTTACCTCTGTCCTAACCATAACCAGCAGGGTACATGCTATGAAATAGAAAAATATAAAAAATAGAAAAGATACAAATTACCCTTGTGCAGTATATCTGAAAGCAGACAAACTTATGGGAAGGATTTGCAACTGGTTTAAAGTAAAAGTGTTTATCTGTATAAGTTCTAAGTAGAGAAGCATTATTTTTGAAAATTTAGTCTTACACAGTAAAAAAAGTGTCGTTTCATATTGTAATTTCTAAGACTTTGATGTGTTTTCTCAAAAAAAGTCCCTAAGTATTCTAAGCCAGACTTTTCCTCAAAAAAGTAAGTACATTTTATAAGAGATACCAAAAGTGATGCTGCTTGAAATACTTAAATGGCCTGAAAGTATAAATCATTTTTATGTGAAGAAATTGAAATTTAGAAACCTAAATGTTGTAGTCAGCGTGAGATTTCCCTTCCCTGCTGTGGAGAGACAACAGGGAAGAGGGAGAGCGGTTCCATCTTCACACCCCTTTAATCCTCTGCTGAAAGTGAGATCATGACTTTTTTTCTGCTGGGAAATAGTCTGAGACCACAAGCTCATTCCATTTCATATAAATCACCAAATTATTATAACAAATTTTTTTGTCTCTAATGGGAATTTGTTTTCAGGCAATGTCTTAGCACCACAAAGGATCATATGCCCTTACTAATAGTATATTTTTCCCTTAATTTCATGCAAATTCAACACAGAAAAGTGCAGTCCACAGCAAACGTGCTTTCTTTTATTTTTCAACTTCCTGTAGGAGTTCTTCATGTTTTCCTCAGAGCTGGGAGAAAAATGTGAAGCAATAAGTGAGAAATTGGTGCATCTGGAAGATCAACTGCAGACTTCCGCCTGCAGAGTTGACGAAGGAGTTATTCATATCCTTTTTGATATAGCTATAGATACGTATCAATCTAGGTAAGTATGTATGTGAAATACTTGCCTTTGAGATTCACATGGAGTACTAGTTCTTAATGTGGATTAAATACATTAAGGAGGGGAAAACTGATTGTCTTGCTGAAGTGGGCATTTCTGTTGTAGCAAGTTTTCCTACAGTGCAGTTTCACTGTGGTCTGATCCAGCTTTAATTGATTTAAACAGAAGTTAGTTCTTTGTAATTTGAGATTAGGCACTGAAAAGCCTTTATTCTACTGTTAAAATAATTTTGTTTGTAATGCTGATATAAGTAAATACCTACCACATCAAAAGCTGCATGGATTCAAGCATCCGTGTGCCTGCATTTCCCAGCATCATTTAGCTAAATGAAATGCTACATCGTTGACTCAGACTGTGGATATTGTCACATGCAGTTTGGGGTTTTTTCCTTTTAAAAAAAGAAATGGGCAGCAGATGCATCATGTGGCATCCTATGCAATTTAATCTGCCTCTAACACTCCAGTGCAAGTGACCAGATGAGATGTTGTCTTATAAAGCACCTCCCTTTCTGTGCTTCATCTGTCATTCAGTATCTGATTGAAGATAGCTTAACCTTTATGAGGCATTTGTTGGGCCTACCTTTGAGGACATTTTTCAAAATTTAAGAGCTCAGAGTATTGTTTCATTTGTAACTTCCATAGAAAAACTTATCACAAAGGAGGTTTTGTAGGAAAAGGGGAAAGAGAATAAGAACCAGCGAGGCTGAGGAAGATGAGAATACTTAGCTGGTTAGGTTTTAGTGGAGAGGAGGTGGCATAATGAAGAAAGGTGAATTCGGGTTGGAGAGGTTAGCAGAGACGCCCTTACAGACAGCTGAAGGTGAGTTGAGATGATGATGGTGCTAGGAAGGATTCAGTTCTCCCTAATACGAGGCAGGTAGTCCTGCAGGGAGAGTTTAGAGAAAGGATAATAAATAGTGTGTGGAAATACCACAGAGTTTCGGGTAATTGGGCATCTACTGCCAGCTCATTGCAAAATTCCTATTCTAGAAACTTGGTTTCTTCAAAGGTATCAGAATGATAAACTTCGTTTAAAAGGGGGGCAGGGGGCAAGCTGCTGGGGGGTCTTTGCATTGGAGGGGAGAAATCTAGTAATTAATTTGTTATGACTTCAAATCTTCTCTTTTTCTAAGCTTTTCATTGTACAGAAAGATTATTTTCTTGTATTTACCACAGGCCAGTTTGGAATACTCTTAATTATATTTAGACTGTGCATGCTTGATTGCAGTTTTTTCCTCAGTGCTGTTTGTGAGCATTCTTTTCAGAGCTGTATGGATGTATGCAGAGCACCTACTTCCTTCTTTATGTGTATTTGCTCTCAAATGAGTTTTTCTCATTGACTCTAATAGAAGAACAGTGAGAGTTGGAGTTACGGGTTCAGCGGGCCTAAGTTCACGTTCAAACCAGTTGAGTCTGACCGTAGTTATGCTACACATAGCTCCACATAGTTACACAGGTAAAATAAGCTGAAAAACTGCTTTTTTGATTCCTGGAGAAAATACACTACAAATACGTGAAATAGTAGTATTTTCTATGGACTGTGGATATTTCCTTGTAGCTGTTAAAACTGCAAGAGTTAGCGGAAAAAATAAAATCTAATCATTGAAAGTTTGAGAAAAGTTGTAGATTAGTCTCATTCTAAGCCACAGTTGCCTGGTATGGATCTGATTTCCTCTACCAGTGAAATTTAACTCACATTCTCCCAATACAGAAATGCACACTGTGTGATATCCTGGTCCTCCTAGCAAGACCATCCGTCACAAAATAAGAAACTATGTTTAAAACATAGGGACATACAGAGAAGCAGTTCAGCGGTTCTGTTACCCCTCATTAACATTCAGTTGCTATTTCAGAGGTAGTCCAGATCAATGTGTGTAGAATGTTACCATCTGGTACATCTAATTGCTGTGCTATACACTTCAAAAAGGAATGAGGAAGATAGCTACCACAGTGCTGCAGACCTGTACATTGTTGTTTTTAAAATAAAAACTGCTCAGTGCCTATAAAATAAACCTTCACTCGTTAGTAACTTGCGTGTATTGCAGGAACTAGCACTGAGATTGGAGTCAATAATTAGCTTCAGTAGAATTTATGATTAATAGATGGATGTATTATTTGCACAGTAGTTTATTTAGTTTTAAATAAAACAATTTCTTATCCCAAATATTGGTCAATTATGCAGTCTTCATCAAAAATCTGTAGAGCTCTGAGAGCAGGAGCTTAAAGATGTGGAAGTGTAATGAAAGCAGGATAAATTTATCCTAACTCTTGTTCTCTGGTTATTTTCGCCCTTCCCCTCAGCCCCCCAAAAACTGCCTTACACGTGAACGGTACAAACTGTATTAGGTCAAAAATCTGACTAGGAGCTGCACAGATGTAAATTAGTCCTGTCGTCTGATTATTAAAAGACTTTTAAAGACTCCACTGAGAAAAATAAATTCCTGATGCTCTCAAGCCATTTGCCAATGTTTAGTGTGTGTCATAGCTTTGATTAATAATTAAGTTTGTATTAGAAGAAAAATCCCAGATGTCATTGTTTTTCATTCTACATTTTGATGGCATAGAACACTTAAATCAGCCGTGCTGCTCGTCGTAATTGCCAGCACGACCTGAACAAAGGAGAAATCCAGTGATATTTCTTGGTCCTGAGTATATGCACAGACCCACTTGGGATTCTCATTTATTATTGAAGCTTTTCACAGCAAATATTAAACTGCAGTTTTGTATAAAACACATCAAACAATAGTGGGGAGAGAAGGGGTAAGAGCTTCTTTATAGCACTATGGCGTATTTGCTAAATTATGTAGTATAACCAAATAAACCCACAAAACTTTCAATTACAGTTAATCATTGGCGAGTGTATGAAAACAGTCCACATCATTAACTGCAAAAACCAAAGGACGAGAGGTGACGCATTCTGGTGTCTACAGAGCTGATGAGAGGTGTTACTTTCCTGACAGTAAAGGCCTAGAATTCCCAGTAAAATTAAATGGAGCCTATATTGCAATTTCACAGTCATTTTTGTTCTTAATTAGCAGTTACATTTTGATAGACAATTTGAACGCATGTAATAGTTCCTCATGGTGAAAATGCTTTTGGTGGAAGAAAACCTGGCTGGACTATTATTATGAAAGCAATCACCATTCCTCACCCTAAAATGGACATTTTAAACAGTTATTTTGAAAACAGAATGTTGTGCCTAAACATTCATTAGGCACCGCAGGTCACTTTGGTAACCTTTCACCTTGATCGTATGGCAGGCTGCCATGCTATTCTTGCTTTACACTAGGTTTTCAAAGAGTCAGGAGTGTGGAATTTATCCCTGACTGTACCTCACTGAGAAATCTCACCCTGGGTGAACCTGTAAGAAATTTTGGGATCCCACAAGAAGGGAGATGGGTGTGGTGATGGTGCCCTCTTTGATTTTATTTTGGACAAGCTGGAAGGAGTGACCCCTTCCCAGTGTGCATCACGTTGATAGAACGTGGTTCCACTTGTATTGTTTGCGCCGTCATGGAGGTAGGTCCGTTTAGTTCCACCCACGTGCTGCAGCTTTGTTGCCTTCCATTTTGTGCTGGAACAAGGGATTTGGAGATGGCTGATACCCAGACCACTGAAGTGATCCTTTTTTTCAAAATGCTGCAGTGATTCTGTTGGGTTTTCTTGTTTAGTGGGGTTTTTTTGAGAGTATTTTGGTTTTTATGTGGGAGGGGTATTAATGTTAGTTTATAGAAACACATATATGGATGTGAAGGAGGAAGACAGTAATGGAGGGGGAAGTTGGAAATTTCTGATCTGATTTCAGTACCACAAGCCCCCGTGTATTTTGTAAAGAGAAATAAGTGATGGGCTTCAAAGACCATTTAGCTTTCTTGCTGTAAAACCCCACACAGGCCTCATATAGGAGGAATGGGGACATTCTCAGGGTCTTTCCTTCACTCCCAAGAGTGCAATTCTAAAAGACTAAGACCCAGGTCACTCCAAAAAACACTGAATTGTCTTGTCTCTTTGCTGGTTCTTTGGCACTTGGCACACACAGCCACAGAATCTTGTTTAGTTGGAAGTGACCACTTGAGATCACCTGGTCCAACTGCCCACTCAAGCAGGGTCATCTGGAGCAGGTTACCCAGCATCATGTCCAGTCAGGTTTTGAGTATCTCGAAGAATGGAGATTCCAGATCTTTGTGCAACATGTTCCAGTTCTGGGCAATATGTCCACTCTAATGTTCAGCTGTTAGAAACAAGCAGAATACTTAACCAGGAGAAAAAAACCCACCCTCCTTCTAATTATTTCTGTTCTTCAAGGCTTCATTACCTTTCAGATGTCCAAAATTGCTGTTATTCTCCAAAATCCCATAGGCCCTTACCTCAGCTCTGGTCATCCTTGACTGACATTCCAAAGCCTTTTCTCTTAGTTTCTAATCTTTCCTATAGGGAAGCAACTGATTTTCTACCTTTTGTCTCTTTTCCTTAAACATCTGTGCTGAGAAAATAAATGAGCCCACTTTTTCCATTTTTCCAAAAATTAAGTAAGCCTACAGTAATTAAATCTGCTTTTTATCTCCTTGTAAATCATGGACTCTGTCATGATGCTCAGGTTTTTTAAAGGGAGCAAGTCAAATAGGTGTGAAGCTTCCACCCAGACAACGTTAGAGCTACAGCATTGTTGCAGAATGTGTATTGTGTTTGTCTGAAGCTGTTCCCAAGTACTTTTAATTTACTGCTTATGATACATTGGAGGGATTTTGCCAGTTTTTCACAGGAAGACAGCAGGACCAGAAAATGTTCCTTGTTGAAACTTGGTTTGGCTCCTGCCTTTGGTACTGGCTCAGTATTTGCAGCACTGGATAGAGAATTTAAGCATGACGGGCACATTTGCCTATGGACCCGTGCAAAAGTAAGAGGGTTTTTATTTTTAAAATGGTTGAAGCTGTTTATCGGACATAACCTCTGTACATAGATAGAGATTTCATGCTCAGCCTTATACCATTTATTTTGCCTAGCTATAAGGGCTCATTTGACAGTTACTGGGCTACAGCTGGTTGTGGTGTGTTTTTTGAAACTTCCTGTAGATAGACTATGCAGGCATCTTTTTTGTTGCTGTGTCTTTTTGTTGGTTAAGAGTTTCTTTCCCTGTCTCCTTTATTTTCATCCATCCTTCAAAATTTCTGATCCACTGGCAGCAAAACATTTCAATTTTGCTTTTTCTCTCTACCTGAAAAATAATTTTGGAATGGCCTGGGATATTACAAATAACAGCATGTAGTCAGAGTCTGCACATCAGAAGTAGTTAAATTTCAGAGGCTTCATGGTGTTCATAAACTGAAGAATTTCTTTTTTGGCAGTTAGGTTTTCAGCAGAGCATTATGATTAAATTGCAGCGTGGTGGACAGTCCAGGACTGTTTGTAAGAGAATAATGATGTTTCTTACTTCAGAGAAGATGCAAAGCATAATTAATTTGTCCTTGTACAGTGCTTTGAGATCCTGGAAGTTTTGTGTGTACTGCTATTACTTAGAGACAGAATCCTTTCAGATTAATAGAGCTGGCCAGACACTAGAAGTAGGCATGGATACTCCTGGTGAATGTATTGAGTAAAACATCACAGTAGATGTCTGTAAATACACAAAAATGAAATTTTAAGGAACTGATAATGGAATGAAAAGCAGCCAAAAGGCTTTTCAAAGGCATAACTATGACTTCCTGAAATAGCAGATTTGTATGGCTTTCCCATGGTCCTCTCTAGTTGCAGTTTTTCAGAAGTAGCAGCTCACTTTTTACAGTCACATAACCTGAGGGTGTCTTTTTTTTCTTGACATTGCATGGACATCAGGGTCGAGTAAAACATTTCATAATGGATGAGCTCTGTAAAGGATAAAGCCTGTCCTTGTGTGTTATCCTTCCTCTGTGTTGTATTTCTGAAATTGAGTTGTTTCGGGGTCAGCCTGTTTCATTTCCCTTGAAGTGAGTTTCTGGCTCTCTTCAAGATCATTTGGTGACTTACTGCTAGAGATAAACTTACTTCTGTCTCCCTTGACCCACCTGGGTTAGCCTTTCAGGGTCCAGCCATACCTGCACAGGAGGCCTCATTGTGTCTGGGGGTGCGCCCTAGACCTGTTTATGTAGGCTTGGTTAGAGCTTCAGCAAGCTCTGACTTGGCTTACACTTGCTTTGCTCTCCATGTAGTACAAGCTAAGGCAAAGAAGGTAAGGTTGGTTGTCTCACTGAGCTACACTCAGTCCTTGCGCTTGAGTCAAGAGTGGATAGTCTCACTGACATAAGATTATCAATGGAAACGCTGATGTATGGGTAGTACAAACCGGGCTTATTCCCAGGAGAGACTCGTCACCAGAACAAAGAGCTCTGCTGCCTAGGAAGCGCAGCCACTTAAAAACTTGTGCACGTCTCAGCAGTTGCCATTTTCTCCATGCGCATCTTGGTCACTGCTGCACCCCTCATCTGCTTGTTGCCACCGCCTGACCCCTTCCCTCTGTCACTTTGGAACTGGGGAAAGAGGGAAGTGGAAGGTCTTTTAAGAGACAGAGCCATTACCCATCACTTTTTTCCTGATTGAGTGCCTTACTGGAAACCTGAACCAGGCAATGGGAAATCAAATGTGGAAAACTCTCCTTTCTTAAGCAAATGAAGTAGTTTTACTGAATTATCGAATGCTTTTCGGGAGGCCTCTTTCCTTTTGATGCATGACAGTGTGACCTTGCTACTGCTAATCTCTCTGCTTTTCACCTGGTTCAAAGCGTTCACTGCGGAGCCTCCTATTGCTTTATGTTTGCATTTTCTGCGCTATAATTAGACTGATAATTCAGCCAAGATTAAAGCCTTCTGGAGGTAGGTAGAGCAGAAACACATTCCTTGCTATGAGCCAATTCTGCCACTTGCCTCGGTTCCCGCCTCGCGTAGCACGCGCTGCCGAGCTGGCTAACGCCACATGAGCTGCGGTCACTTGGCTTACGGCTCAGACTCCTGCCAGCTGCCTTCACCTGGGGTCTGATCCACCCAGGTTTCTGTCTCTGGCTTAAAAAGCCACCCTCCATCGAGCAGGGAACTCGCAGCTAATGCTGCTGCCTCCATGCTACCTTTTCTTCATCTCCTTCCTTCCCCTGAGAACAGTATCCAGGCATTATCCCCCATCCCCTCCTTTTTTATAAGTGCTAAATAATGCTACTTGAGAACTTCAGTTTGCCTGTTATTTTGGTTTTTTTTTTTTTTTAAAGCAAATGTGAGAAATGTATTAATCTTTAATCCAAACAAGTTGGAAGAACTTGAAGCTGCAATTAGATAGCCATGGCCATCTGCTGTGAGCAGTGGAACAAGGATTTATTTAATAACTTGGAAAGAGAAAAGGGACTGCCAATCACCTATAGATTTATTCCTTAATAAAGCCTGTACAGGCTCTGCAGAGGGAGATCCAGGTGGTGAAGGAGACACTCCAGACCGTGCTGGTGCAGCTTCAGCCAGCCAGAGAGGCAGGAGAAGAAAAGGCTGGAGACTTCCTCTGTGACAGCTGGTGTCCAGGAAAACAGGACTTGAAGGAATAATGAGCAGAAAGAGCTGGTAGGATGACATTAATTCACAAAGGGCTGCTTTTAGTAACTGAATACTATTTTACCAAGCCTCAGGGATCTCTTTCTCCCTGCATAACTAATAACTAAATCAATTATGGAGAAACAGAGCCTGGAGGTCCATCATCAGAAGTATTCCACACAGCCTCGCATGTTTTGGCACAGATTGGGAAACAGCTTTCAGAACAGAGCATCCCCTGTAAATGTGTAGATTACAAATTGATACATTTCAAGTGAGTCTGCAAAGTTGCCTTTCATGTCAGTGAAATGTTCTTCTTGAAGATTCATAAACAATGTGTCTTCCTTACTCATGGACTCTTTTTTTTTTTTCCCCCTCCCTGATCTTAAAATGTAGTGTTAAAGCTGGAACTTCTAGTATTTCTTAAAAAAAAGATGTAAGAATAAGAACAACTTCCTCCCCCCTCCTCCTTGGCTTTAACAGCTTCCTTACACTGAATGTATTTTCACATTCCTGCCAATAATTAAATCAATAGGATGAAATTTAAGCTTACCAAGTTCTTTCAACTGAAATTGGGTCCTCGTTTACTCAGTGGTATTGAGTACAGCAGAGGTAACCAACAGCAGCCCCTAGAGCAGTAGTCTCACTCTTTTCATTTAGGTATTAATATAAACTTGCTTTAGTATTACCAGGGTTATAAAGCACATAATTACTATGTTAGTGCTTTGTGTTCCTTATATTTAAATACTGTGTGAACTGGCAGCCCAGAAGGCCAACCGTATCCTGGGCTGTATCCAGAGAAGTGTGGCCAGCAGGTCGAGGGAGGGGATTCTGCCCCTCTACTCTGCTCTGGTGAGACCCCACCTGGAGTGCTGCGTCCAGCTGTGGGGCCCTCAATATCAGAAGGATATAGACCGGTTGGAGCGAGTCCAGAGGAGGCCAGGAAGATGCTCAGAGGGCTGGAGCACCTCTGCTATGGGGACAGGCTGAGAGAGTTGGGCTTGTTCAGCCTGGAGAAGAGGAGGCTCCGGGGAGACCTCATTGCAGCCTTCCAGTACCTGAAGGGGCTACAAGGGTGCTGGGAGAGGACTTTTTACAAGGGCCTGTAGTGACAGCACAAGGGGTAATGGGTTTAAATTGAAATCAGGGAGGTTTAGATTAGATAGCAGGAAGAAATTCTTCCTGGAGAGGGTGGGGAGGCACTGGAACAGGTTGCCCAGAGAAGCTGTGGATGCCCCATCCCTGGAAGTGTTCAAGGCCAGGCTGGATGAGGCTTTGAGCAACCTGGTCTAGTGGAAGGTGTCCCTGCCCATGGCAGGGGGGTTGGAACTAGATGGTTTTAAGGTCCCTTCCAACCCCAACCATTCTATGATTCTGTGATTCTCACCACCAAGATTGAAGATATTCCCACTCAATTAAAAAAACCAAACTGTGGCTTTTGTGTTTCACAGCTTCAGGGCACTGCTGCATTTTAAGAAAAACACAACTTAGGCAACCACTCTAATAAAGACATTGAACTCCTAAGGAGAAGGGAAACCGGATCAGTCATCATTCATGTCATATTTGTATCTGTTAACATTTATTTTATACACACTGTAGGCTACTACCACTACTTTAATTTATTATTCCATTTACTTCACTGTTTGTTGTGGAAACTTAGAGCCAGGAATCATTCCTTTTCTCAGACATGCTGAATAATAAGGGTTTTTTTGTGTTTTTTTTTTTTTTTTAATTAAAAAAAAGGTATACTATGCAATGTATCAGCTGCCTTTTATCTGTGGATATAAAACTTTCAAATAAAGAGCAGTGTGTTTTTAACTACCCCATGTCTGTTTGCATTCTGCTCAGTGTACAAGATGCTATAAATTTCATCCTGGGTGGGAGTTGGCTGGGGAGAGGAGGAGGGGAGAAACCACGTGTGTGACTATTACGGTGCTGTCGACAGCAGAGGTTCCTCTGCTTGGGAAATTCTGTGATGCCTTCTGGAAACAGTCTAAAGACACATTCAAGACTAGAGTCTCACAGCAAAATGTAGCTATTTTCAGTGTGAAAGGGAGAGAAATACCATGCAGTGAGCTATACAGACAGGTAAAACCTGTGCTCGAGTCCCAGCTTGACTCAGCCAGTCTTGCTGTGCAACTAAATCCCGCCTGTCTGCCTTCCCTCAGTTCTTCACCCATGGAGAAGGGTCAAGGGAAGGGAGGTGTGACTGTGCACTAGCTGCAGCAACATCTGAGGTCAAGTCATGCTCCCACACATCGTCACTGCCGTGATGAAAGGTAGGAGAATGCCTGTGGTATCCTAAGGATCAGCTTCACACAGATTTTCTCACCCCCTGCAAACATGAATCTCACTAGAAATAAGCCCCTTTCCTGCCTGGGATGTGTTCTCCCTAAGACCCCAGCCCTCAAACATTTGAAGAGTAGAGAGGTGCATAGGCTTTGTGTGCAGAAAACCACCACAGCAATGGAATCATAGAATCGTTTAGGTTGGAAAAGACATCTAAGAAGATCCTCAAGTCCAACTGTTAACCGACACTGCCAAGCCCACAACTAAACCATGTCCCCAGGCACCACATCTACACATCTTAAATCCCTCCAGGGGTGGTGACTCAATCACTTCCCTGGGCAGCCCATTCCAATGTCTGACAACCCTTTCTGTGACAGAATTTTTTCCTAATATCCAACCTAAACCTCCCTTGGCACAACTTGAGGCCGTTGCTTCTTGTCCTGTCACTTGGGAGAAGAGACCAACCCTCACCTCTTTGCAACCTTCTTTCAGGTAGTTGCAGAGAGCAATAAGGTCTTCCTCAGTCTCCTCCAGGCGAAACACCCCCAGCTGCTCCTCACAGCACTTGTGCTCCAGACCCTTCCCCAGCTCCGTTGCTCTTCCAAAGCACATGCAACAAACTGCTCGAGGAGAGCTGTGAGATGAGGAAACAGCTCGTCTGAAGCAATCCACTGCATCTGCTTTGGAGGAGTTGGTTGTGTTTAATACGCACACATGCGGCGTACAGATATGTTCTCAGGGGACTAAAGAAGGCGGCGAGGAGGACACAGCACCCCGAAGGGTGTTTACCTCCAGCCTACTATTTCTTTTCACAATCAATTAGCTAATCCGTTCTTTCTAAAGCGTGACAGCTCAGGCTTCTGCTATCATTACTTGTTAAATCAAGATAAGCACATCTTTTCTAGAGCACTGGAGAAGGCAGTTCAGTAATGGATCCCAGATAGGCAGTAGTGCTGGAGAGAGCTCCAGGGTGAGATTAAAATAATCTTCATGTATCCTCTTAGTTTGCTATCCTATTAGAAATGAGACTGGGACCAAGAGATTTTTTTAGTCTCGGAGAGTAACATGCTGACAAAGAAGCTCTAAAATATTATGCACATGTGGATATTTTTCTGCACTGTTGAGGAAGGTAATACACATTTCTGAAGAGATATTGAGGGAGGGGAAAAAAAAAAAAAAAAGAATAGAAGAGGGCCTGTGAATATAGGGGAGTCATTCTGAACCTGAAAAGCAGCCAAGCCAGCAGCTAGAGGAAAGCATTTCTCTCAGATTTCTAATGAAGGCTTGAATGCAAGACCTGGGAAAAGAACATCTGGGGTTGGGCGAGTAAGGAAGCGTCCGAGTTCTTCCCATGCGTGGTTTTTTTTCTTTCCTTGTTTCCTTGTCTGGAAGAGCAGTGTCAGGGAAGGGGGTGTTGAGACATTGTCAAAGACACACACAGAGTCAATACATCACTAGGCTGTTTGTTCTTATAATCAACTGCAAAGTTGAACAAATAGTTTATAATAATAAGCAGCCATACAGGAATACTAACTGGAGAAAAGGAGAATATTAAAATAATCGGAGTCACAGCTAGGAGAGACATGATGGATCTCTCTGGAGAAATGGAAAATTAAGAGACCTTTCCATAAGGACAATCAAATTTACAAGGAGAAGAAAACCACCTCAAACTTATTACTTCTCTGACCATGAGACAAGCACTTCTGGGTTTTTTTGCCAACTAGGCTCAAGTTTAAGTATCAGCTCAATTCCAAAAGCTAGAGCTTTGTGCCCACCCTCAGGCTTCCCTGCAGGAGTGGCCCCAGAGCATGACTCAGGAGCAGCAGCTGGGAGCCAGGCACGGCTCTGCACAGGGGACCTCCTCCAGGACTGTGCTGGGAATCAGTGTCACAGGGTTGGAGACACCGAGGGCAACCTGTTTGACTCCTTAGGGGCTGGCAGGGGCAATAGGGACACAGATGTATTACTGTTTCTGTGCTCTTCTAGAAACTTAAAAATTTTCTTTCCATATTGTTTTTGCTTTGAAGTGTGTTTTCAGAAAGTTCCTCATGCACCCTCCATGACCTGAAATTTAAAAGTACCAGGGTTGTTTAATTTCTCCTCTCTGAAATACAGTAAGGTCAAGCAACAAGACCTATTTGTTCTCAGCTATTGTCTGATGAGTTTGGATCACAGTTTACTCCTTTACTTTCAATAACTTGAGTTCCTGGAACAGCTGCTGACCGGTTGCCAGGCTGTTTCCCCCACTTAGGTGGGCAGCGTTGAAGAGCAGGAACATGACATTGCCATGCACACACGGCCCTGTCAAGGCTTTATGAGTGCTGCCGACTCTGCTGTCCCCACACAGTAAAAGCAAACAGGAAATGGTTGGAAATTAGGAAAAACTAACTTCCTTACAACAGAAGGCCCACAAAGCTCAGTACAAATGACTTGGCCAACTACAGACAAAAGGTGAACCTCTCATGTCCTTTAGTATTCACACAGGGAAAGATTTCCAGTGCCTACTGGTCACCTAGCAGAATCCTCCACAACAAAAAAGTAAGACGTTCCTAGCAGGGAGAGTAATTGACCGTTGGAGCAGCAAACTCTGTCTCTCTCAATTAAAGTAAGCTTGGAATTTCCCTCCCCTCCAAAAATGTGAAGAAAGCCCTCCTACATCGCAGATGTAACACGCTCGATTCAGAACACACCACAAGGCAGGTTTGTACAGCCTGCGTGATCCGTACGGCACTGAGGAATAGTCACAGGTTCTACTTTAAAATATAGCAGTTCTCCTTAATGGCTTAAAAGAAAAAAAAAGCAGGCACAGAAAGAAGAAATGCCTTGATAAACTGTTGCTTGGCTGCAGAGGTAGAACTGGAGGACAGGGTAGCTGGGTGTCTGCAAGTTGGAAAAGCCTACTTACCTACTCCCTGATCTTGACCTTAGCTGAAAAGGGCGAGTGAAACCAAACGTTAAGGAGGGACTTATTGTAAATCTTTTCCTGGGATGCCAAGACTGGAGCAAAATGGGTTAGGGCCTACTAGGCTCTTGATTTGAATTCTCTCCCCTTTAGAATCAGGCAGGTTAAATGAGGCTGGGGGCACATTTCATGGTGCAGCATCGGCAGGATGGGGCTATGCCAGCACCGCACTCGGCGGCCAGGAGCCGAGGCAGCGCCGCAGCACTCGCGCCACGCTCCAGCCCAAGAGGCAGCGGGGCTGTTTGCCCTGCTGCACAACCTCCTCTGCAAAAGGAGAAGAGCCAAAGAAACCCAACCAGCACTGTAGCCATCAGGCACTGCCCTTCTTGGCTCATGGTGCTGACACTTGATCAGCCTGTTGCTGCTTGTTTTCATTAAATGAGAGGGGAAAGGTAAAGAGAGCACCCTGCCTCTCACAGCCATACGTGATCTGTCATTGCTGATTTTCTGTGG